TGTTTGTGTCAGTAATTGTGGCTATTTAAGTTCAAGATAAGACACACTGAAAGCCAGCCTTTCCTCATTCCTCCTTTTTGCCTTGTGCCACTTTTTTGTATTTGCAAAATTAATATTAATTTCCTCTATGGTACTTAGGCTTTATGAAGTTATGGGTAGTACAAGACTGACGGCAAGGTTTCATCATTTTACAGTTTAAATTGCTAGATGTAACCGTAAGTTTTATACCAACAGTTCCTTCTAGCTCACCTCTCTCTTGTAGAACTATCTTCCGGCTTCTTTCTTCCCAGTCAACATTGATTTTCAAAAATTTAAATGAAATGCTGATATACTGGAATATGCGTACACCTTTGTTCCCCGCCCCTCACTGGAGTGTGATTGGCTGGTGTCCGTCATAAATATCGACGGACGTGTCGGAGAGTCAGAGAAAGAGCCTTAATCTGAGAGCTAAGTCTATAACGACGCCCATTGGACTACGCCATTGATCTACACTTCTTACCTGCGACTACGACGCGGACCAGTCGATTACTGCTACCGTATTCTACTTGGTTATAGTAACCAAAACCACTTAGCTACATCGTTCAAATATATCCCTTTCCGGGACATATCAAATGCGAATCGTTATCTTCTGTCTTCTTAATACTTGTTTTTCTATTGTTTTCTCTCTTTAATAGTAGCTTTTCTCATATCCTCTAACTCTTAATAATCATCTGTATCCTAATGGATTTATTGCCTTGCTTGGGGTAAAATGATTTTTAAAAAATCCCTAAAGGAATTAAAAACGTTGTCTCTATATCGTAGCTATCGTCTTCTGCATGGCAAGCGTTGAAAAGGTCAGCTAGACATTCGAGTCGCAACCAGTGTTGACCGACAAGTAAAACTCAAATAAATAACTAAAACATTGGCGTATCTATCGCACAGTGGCACATTGCTAAAGAAATAAACTTTCTGCTCAGTTAGTGTCACTTGATGGCGCAACCTTAGAAATCAGAGGTCAATAAAAAACAGTTCAACTCGAAATTTGATCCATCAAAATAAATTCACATTCTTTATCTGACAAAGTTCTCTTAGAAAATTAACACTGAGAAAATTTGGGGGAAAAAATCATCGTAGGCGTTTTGACACAGGTTCGGTCCCAAAGAACGTGTCAGTGGCTTAGTCTTCTTCTAGACAACATCCCATCCTTCCTAGATCTGAGCAATATTTCTCTCTTTACTATTACTTGCAGTCCTTGTTCTGCCATTTATATATTAAAACCAGTTAGGTTATTTTCTCTGTACCTCATTCCTCGTAAGTGTCAAATTCTCCAAGCACCCTTTCCTCATTATGTGTCCCAGGAATTTCAGCTGTCTATATCCAACTTTAAATATGTCCTTTTTATTTTAGTTTTCCTTAAAAACTTATCGTTTCTCATACGTTCCGTCTATGATATTCCCAATATCCTTCTGTAGAACAACGTCTCTATTGTCTAGTGTCACCTGTTGATCTGTGGGGACATTTTCCAGCATTCTGCCATATAGGAAGACGGATATTGCATAGCAGTTCAGTATTTCTTTCTTTATTTCTAACAGATAATTTTTCTTAATACAGAGTGCGACAGAAATAGCTCCCACATATACTTCACAGAAATACCTTCCACATAATGATAAGATAAAGAAACCATTGCTTCAGTTCATTAGCACCACACAGGTGACAGTTTAAAATGTCGGAGGTATTTCTTTCGCAACATGTAACTCAAGACTTAGCGCCATATGTCGGAGGTATTTCTGCCGCACTCTGCGGTTTATATCAGTGACACTTGTTACTAAATGTCTTCTGTGTTTGAAAATTGCAAAATATACATGAAGACGATGAATAGAAATCTTAACGACTGTTGCTAAAGCAACTTAGATTGTTACAATAGGGCTTGCTTAGAGAGACACGTTACTACAGGGAATACCAAGTGCTGTAAGCTTGGATGTGCGGGTGGTGTAATGGATAATGCCTCCGAATTGTTGAACAGAGAGCCGAGTTCCAATTTCAATTGGGTTTATTATATTCACTTAGACGCAAATACCGTTGAGAAAGGGGTAATCCACCTCTCCTCTCCAGCTATGGATTAATAAGTAAGACTTGTATCGCTAAATCATTATTATCTGAAAGAAAAAAAAATCTTACAATCTAAAAATATTTTCTGACTTTAAATAACCTGCAAACGGTTTTATAAGCAGTAAAAATGAATCAATCAGTCAATCATCGTTACTGCATAAAACTACATCCGCGTCCTGGGTAAGATGTTAAACTACATCCGTCAGCAAGGCCTTTGATCAGGAGGTCTTAAGGAGCGTAGAACCACGTCTTAATTGCTGGTGTTTCCAGGTCCACCCCGACCCGGGGTGGTAGCACATGTCAGGGTCCCAGCTATGGGCAAATATTTAAACAGCCACCAGCAAAAAATGGGTCAAAACACAATGAAAGTTTAAAAAAAGGTTTTAATACCAGCAATACTTTGTTGGAAAAATTATTACCAGAAGTACAATTTTTGATAAAGAATTTTACCAGCAATATATTTTTAGGTAAAAATATTAGCAGCAATAAAAATCTTGTCAGCATTATATAACCTATTGAGACTGATATGCAGTAAAACAAGCCAAATCAAACGTTATTACATCAGAACGGCAAATTAAAATGTTTTTAATACAAGACTTTCTTGTAAAAATGAATTTTTGAAGAGTTGTTCTTACCATTTATCTTCTCTAATAAATGAACGCTTTCATCATCTTTGTTAATTCCGAAATAAATAAAAACTCTCGCCAAGTTTACAGTTTCGGTACTTTGAATGATTGATGAATGTTGAGGAATGAAAGAAAACTTCTTGGCTAAATGTTACTATAGATGGATAAATTTTCGTCTAAATTATGCAAAAATGAAAATAATACTGACATCGCCTTTTTAACAGATATATTTACCAAAATTATACAAAATTATCTTGGAATAGTAAAGTGTAAATTGATAAAATAAAATCACCATTGTCATCAACCACGGCTTCCAGACGACTTTGGAATCTCCTGCAACTCTTCTGGACGGTCTCCCTGTTTAAGTTGGTGAATAATCCAATAATCCATGCCTTCAGTTCACCTTTGGTGCTACAAGGAGTTTTCTGCGCCCCACACATAATAATCAAGATGGTGATGTGGTCGCAAAAATTATCTGAGAGCCATAGCTGGATTCTCTTGTTTGTGTGGCAGTCACCCTTTTGACTCAGAGAAGCACTACCTCCTCAATGTATTTGATGTAGGCCTCGCTGTTGAGTCTGAGTTCCTCACCGACAAATTCAGGAGTTCTTTTCTTATCAGAACGATCAGTGTGAGTTTTCCAAGTTGCCGTACCTTCGTAATCACCATTAGACACATCAAACTATTTTCGATTCCTCTGCACTGCCCTCATATTAACACCCAAATACACTGAAATGTTTGTGTTCGGTGAATTTCCAAGCATGCCTTTTTTTCAAATTTCTGGCAGAGTGAATTTCCTCATGGGGCTCTTTTTCTCACAGATGATGCCCAACTTATCTTACGATACTGTGCAGTCGACAAAATTTAAAAAAAAAAACACGCGAAATTAAAAATATAAAATGACGATAATTTACCCATTGCACCCTGTATGTCACGTGCTTGAGGATCCAGTGCAGTATTTTTCCCCTACCACTAAAGTGTTCTTGCTGACCAAGATCCGTTTTATCATTGATAAGATTTATTTAATGACGTTATAAAATGCTTTCTTGAATGACGTCATAAAATGATTGTAGATTGTTTGTAAAATAATAACAGAAGATAAAAATTGACATGGTTAACAAATTTATTTATAATGACGTCATTTTTGTCTCTACAGATCTGATAATTATAATAAAAATAATTCTTGTCTTTACGATAGAGGAAAATTTAAGAACAGCTCTATAATATCATTCCTCCTATGTAGCAGAAAATGCTGAAAATGTGTTTTTTAATTGATTGATTCGTTTTTTATGGTTTATCAACCCTTTGCAGGTCATTTAAAGCTAGGAAATATTTTTTACATTATAATAAGTATTTCTTTTTTAGATACTAATGTTTTAGTGATACTAATTAACCGACAACTGGCGGAGAGAGAGGATACGTGCTTTCGCAGAGATATTTAAGCGTAAGTGAATATAACAAGCCCAATCTAAATTAGAACTCGGTTCTCCGATCAAAAAATCCGAATCATTATCGATTACACCCCCCGCACATCTAAGCTTACACCACCTGGTATTCCCAAATGGTCACCCATCAAGGTAAAGACCAGGCTCGATGTTAGGTTAACTTCGGTGATCGTACGGAATACTTGTTTCAACATGATATGTCTGTAAGCCTTAACAGGTGGGGTAAACTTGAGGCAACAGAGATATGGTTCTATAGATGGATGCTGAAAATATTAGGGACATAACATGTAAGCAATGTAAGTTTTAAGGTAACTGCTAAGGGTAAGAGTTGACATTTCTGTGACATAATGAAGTAAGGGGAATTTAAGAATTTCACGGTCATACGACATAATTAAGGCAAGAGAGGCAGAGAGAAACTACCTAACGAGCCTGGATGGCAGAATAAGGACTGCGGCTATATTTAGTAGATTCCTAAATTTCACGCTATTCTTCAAAGGTTCCAAAATACATTAATCCTCGCATTGTTTCTTGAACTTCTGATATAAAATGTTTTCAGTGGTTTCAAAATAGAAAGGTTTTTTTAAGAGCAGTGATAACATTGGCAGTGGACACAAAAAAAAAGAACCATCTGGAAAAACAAGAAAATCTCCCCGAAATAAAAGATCACACTTGCACGCATTGGCTCACTGAAACTTTCTATATGCCTGCGAATTTTGGGCATCTAAGCATTACAAATGAGATGCTACAGAACCCTTCCAGGCATCAAATACGTACACTGCATCGCAATTGATAAAGTACAAAACACCATGAAACAAGAAATAGGCTCATTATAAGGGTTCAGGGCAACTCAACCCCGCCAACTCAACCCCTCCAACTCAACCCCGCCAACTCAATCCCAAAAACTCAACCCCTCCAACTCAACCCCGCCAACTCAACCCCTCCAACTCAACCCCGCCAACTCAATCCCGCCATCTCAACCCCTCCAACTCAACCCCTCCAACTCAACCCCGCCAACTCAATCCCGCCAACTCAACCCTCCAACTCAACCCCTCCAACTCAACCCCTCCAACTCAACCCCACCAACTCAATCCCGCCATCTCAACCCCTCCAACTCAACCCCTCCAACTCAACCCCGCCAACTCAATCCCGCCATCTCAACCCCTCCAACTCAACCCTGCCAACTCAACCCCTCCAATTCAACCCCGCCAACTCAACCCCACCAACTCCACAATGCTTTACGATTTACTTTATTAAAAATAATTTTAAAATATTCACTAATTAAGGTTTTAATCCTTTATAAATTACTTTTATTTGTTTTTTTTTTTTGTTTTTTTTTTTACAAAAGTTATTTTTTCATGTGCTGAGTTGTCTCAGTCCTGAATTGTGCCGGCGTTTAAGTCAGTGGTGTTGAGTTGGCGGTGTTGAGTTGTCTCTTCCAACATTATAAGGTTTTCCTATTCTTTACGATTTACTTTATTAAAAATAATTTTAAAATATTCACTAATTAAGTTTTAATGGGCGTTTAACGGCGTAAAAAGGATGTCTTCAACTCTTGGAATAGATCAACGGGACAAGATTATCGTTGGCACAATTCACACAAAAAAAAAAAAAAAACTGGTTTATATTTTACATAATGCCTTTTCATATATATTATTCGAAGAAAAATATTCACTAACTAAGGTTTTAATCCTTAGTAAATGATTTTTATTCGGTTATAAAAAAAAAATATTATGTGTTTCTGGTGCTGAGTTGTCTCGGTCCTGAGTTATGCCGGCACTCAATCAGTGGTGTTGAGTTGGCGGTGTTGAGTTGTCCTTTCCCGCATTATAAGGTCTTTATATTCATCGAGGAAGTTGAAATTGCGTGGGCACACCGTGAGAGATAACAATCAATCCACTACCATCCTAAAGGCTCCACTTTAGGCAAAAGAGGATAAACGAACTGACATTGTCACTGGATGGACTGAAAGATCATTCACGGAGACTCAGACATTGGTACGCAACCGAGACATGTGAGTGAAACTGGTTAATTGTTCACCTGAGCAGCGACCGTGGGATCATACCCAATCATGGTGTCAATATTTTCATTATTGCATATATTTTTCAAACTACAAGTTGCCGAGTAAAAAAGCGGGAAATTGAGAAAGAAATTTATTTAGCTATCACGATTCATGTACAAACTGAACAATCATCGTGTATGTTCGAAATATTTGCCTGAATGTTCAACACAAAGTTGTTAACCAAGAGGCAGTAGCTTTGCGGATAGTGTCAAGAGGAATTTCATTCCAAACTTTGGTTAAGTCCCACTTCAATGAATTAATATCGACGATGTCACGACAACGGTTTTGCAAGTGAGTTAGGAATATACTCCAGATCCAGTAATCCATGGGGCTTTTAGAGGACCACTAAAATGGAACAATTAGATCTGATGTATTTTCCCGAAGAATAAATTTTCCCGCTTTTCTACTGGGCACCCTAGATAATTGTTCTGTTGTTTCTCGCTCAAAGATTTCTGGAAATACATTCTACATAACTGACTATCTGAAATTAATGCACAAATATATACTTCCATATTCCTACATCTGGCGTTTTCTTTTGAAATTGGCTAACACTGTTTACTTTCGACACTATTTCACATCGCTAAAAATAGAGCACCAGTTTAAACTAGTCATGAAAGTAATATCTAAGATCTCGTGACATGTTAACGTGAGAACTGGCGAGATTGAAAAAGCTCCATCTATTTTTTTTAATCAAGGAATTAGCTTTTATTGACCCTGTTAATAATTTATTTGTTCGAAAGAGATGTAGAATAATTAGTCGTCTAACTTGTGTTATATTATACCCGCCGTCAAATCGAGAAGGTTTGAATTAATATAAACTATAAGTATGAATGACTGTAGACATACATTCCGTCTGGACGCCGGCTTTGTCATACCAATTGTGAACTTTGCCTCTGTTCACTTAACCTATACCCAAAAGACATCACTAACTCGTCACCTCAAATCGAATGTCGTGTCAAGGACATTCCTAATGTTGACCTGAAAGTGAATTAAAACCCAAGATTGCTTATCTTTCTAACTAAGAGACTTATCTGTTAACTCTGAACACTTTTCTCAGACTATATTTTTTATTTGTCGAACTAGTCTTTAGCAAATAGAAATTTTGGCGTCAGTTCATTGACTCTTAAACCAAAGTGTTTACCTATTTTTAACCTAGTTTCTTTTCTTTTCCTTTCTTCATCTGCTTTGGATTAACATCTTTCATCACTCTCTCTCTCTCTCTCTCTCTCTCTCTCTCTCTCTCTCTCTCTCTATCTCTCTCTCTCTCTCTGGACTCCTTTCAAATTTATCCCTTTCTTAACCTAAATTCCCTTTATTCTCTTTGTTTCTTTAGCGTTCTTGGTATGACGATAAACAACACGCGGCAGCTAGACCTCTGATCAGGAGATTGGCGGTTTTGAAAATCATAGAATCACTTCCTAATTGCTGTTGTTCCTAGGTTCATCTTAACCCGGAGTGGTAGCACCTGTTAGGGTCCCAGCTATGGTAAAGTATTGAACCCCAACACAAAAATCAGCAGTACATCTTTATAATAAAATGACCAATAACAATCAATATAACACTAAAAAGTATAAAATATAATAAATTTTTATAGTAAAATTAGAAATACGACATTTTATGGCAGTTTTCCAAGTGGAGCTTAGATGTGGCACAAGGCCGAAAATATGAGGCAACTAGTAAGGATCGAACTCGCTATTCAGTCGTAATTGATCTAGCCAGACAAGTTTGCTAACCATTACACCACATCAAAGTGTCCCAGATGTGGGACGAGGCCGAAAGTATGGGGCACTCAGTAAGAATCGAACTCACTCTTCAGTCGTAGTTATTCTAGTGAGATAATCTTTCCTATCATTACACTGCGTAGAGATGCACTCAACAATGCATTTTATGATCTAAAAACTATATATATATATATAAATACTTACCTTTACTCTGTAAGTATAAAATTATGTTCAAGATATTTAGATTTTGACAATAAGTAACCCATAGAGGTGTTGATATGCCGCTAAAAATTCAACCAACGAACCAACTTTAATTCTTCATGTTGCCTGAAAACATCCACATCCCTGTTTTCATTCCTTCCTTCCTTTCTTTCATTCTTTCTTTCTTCTGATTGCCTAGATTACCTTCTGGCTTATGCCTCTATCACTTTGAAACACTTCTTCTTATACGATCAGTGATGTTAAGCAACGTTGAACCTGGCCAGTACCTTATATGGGTGACCGCTTAGGAGTACCAGGATCTGTATGCTTGGATGTGCGGGCGATGTAATGGATAATGCCTCGGAATTTTTCATGGGAGAGCCAAGTTCCAATTCCAGTCGGATTCGTTATGTTTCTTTACGCGCACTTACTCTCGGAAAAGGTATAACGTCACCTCTTCTCCCCCAGATATGGGTTAATTAGTAAGACTTGTATCAGTAAATCATTATTACCTTCACAAACATCCTTACAATCAAGAAATATTTTCTGGCTTTAAATAACCTGCAAAAAGGTCGATAAGCCGTAAAAAGCAAATCAATCCATCGAAAGATTATCTTCTTTGTTCCTATTTTAGTAAAGTACTTTCCTCTTTTCTTTCTTTCTTCCTTTCTTTTTTTTATTGATTTATTTAATTTTCTTGTTTAAATTATATCTTTTCTATCTTGGAATTTTCGGGCATTTTTCTTTCTATCTTTCTATTTCATAGTCTCTTTCTTTCTTTCTTTCTTTCTTTTCCCATTACTATTATAAACAGAGCTGTTCTTTGTTTTTTTTCTTATTTGCTACTTTACTTCATATTTTCTTTTTTTGTTTTTATGTGCTTATTTTCTTTCTTTTGTCTTCTTCTTTCTTAATTTCTTCTTTCATTTCTTCTTCTTCTTCTTCTTCTTCTTCTTCTTCTTCTTCTTCTTCTTCTTCTCTCAAATATCATTCAGTCTGCTCTTATCTTTCATTGTGCTTTTAGTTTGTTTAAAAAGGCAATTCAACCTAATATTTTATTTTTACATAATTTTCAAAGAAATTTAAATATACCTTAATTTAATAAACTATTTACATGTAATGTGTTTAGTTGTACCATGTTGACTTGAAATAACATCACTGAAAGTTTGAAACTAATTAAATTAATTAAATAACCTGATATTCTATTCAAATGTCGTCCAGTAAAAATTCGTCACTTGGAATGGTGGTTCTAAATTAACTGTCTAAATTCCTGACTTCCTCAAGGCAGCCATGCTTTGAAAAACAAAACCCTATTTAAAATAAACGAGGTCCCCTTAAATGATTGATCCGTATAATATAAATGAAAAATAGCCATTTATTCGAAGCAATTTCGTTATCTTATACTCTTATTTTAGCGTCCCTTTCATCATACAATATTATCTGAAAATTCCTCCCACGTCATATGACTTTTCAGGTTTTATGTACTCTCGCCCGAGAACTGAAATCTCCACTTTGTCAAATGTCATAGCCCAAAATTGTGACTGTCAAATAGTGGATTCGAGTTGATGAGATGACAAATGTAGCTAGTCTGATGTTTTCCAAAAGGCCAGTAAGTAACTTTTGTAAATGCGACGTTAACACATCTCACAGGTTCACTCAACAGCATCTCACTGCTGATGGGGTAACCACACAGGAGAAAATCGTTTCGCGAATTTACTGTGATGTTTACTCCGAGTGGTTGCCAAGTTATATCAAGTTGTGATAATGAAATTCGATTAACCGATTCCCGATATTAGTCCTAACCCTTTTTGTTTTCTATTAATGACTAGTAGTAGAGCCCGGCGTTGCCCGGGGATATAACAGTAAGAGATAGATCAAGTATCCACCATCATAAAGACTGCAAAATAAAATTGACAAAGATTATTGTTTAAGGTTGACGGACACGCATGTCTTAATTAGTTTTTTTTTTTTTTTTACGAATTGGTCAAACCCAAACTCTAACAAAAACATTGTTTTCAATCGTTGTGAGTCTCCCAATTGAATAGATTTTTATTATAAATAATTGTCTTGTAAATGGAATTTTTAAAGCATTCTGAATATTAAAAATAAAGAAAAAAGTATGCAAGAGAATAAGAAACACAACCTGCCAAAAAAAAAAAAAATGTGAAGTTTTGGTTTATCGGCTGAAAAATATAGGAAATCCGATCCCATATTTAAAGGAACCCACACACACAAACAAACCGATGTGAGTTGTCCCCCTTCCATTTTCACGA